CCATAGGTACCAAAGACAAAGACCCAAAAGCTGAAACAGTGTCTTGTGACAAGCATCCCATTTGTGTGTCTTGGGAGTGACCGATCAAAGCACTCATATGGTCACCAAAACAAAATTTAAACGTTATTAAAAGGATCAGTCATACCTGCAAGACCAGGAGTGTGACCCTAAATACATCAGCAGGATAGTAATTGAAGCAATTGTTGAAGAGGTGTTGTAGCTGTGGGCAATGCTTTTTTGATGGAGTAAAAGGGATTTGTTTGGAAGGTGGTTGAAATGGAGGTTGAGTGTGGTTTGTGCCCCTCTGATTTCAAGAGGGATGGGGTTCAAAATTTTGTATCAGCTGTGTCCCGGAAATCTTCAGAGCTTAGATATATTTCAAATTGTCCCTGACAATGGTGCTGAGGGCACCAGAAGCATCTTTAGAAACATGAAATTATATATATTTTTCCTTTCACAACTGAGCAGCCTTTTCTTAAAACACTTCTGTAAAACATAGACAGATTATTTAATGCAGAGGAGGGGCAGCACGGTTTGCACGTTACTGCCTCTGTGTGCACAATTTTTGGAGAATTACTTGGTTTTTTCCACTTTAAAAAGCACAGTTCAACCCTCACTTCTGCTGGAGGTGGTCTAGCATGACCTGTGTGCCACTTCCAGGTGGAAGGGAATAGCACCCATCTGAGACCTTGGGAAGCCAATGCCAGACTTCTTTCATCTTCAGCTGGATGGGAACATGGCAGGACAGGGGAAGAAAAGGAAGGAGATAAAGCTGAAGAACTGGAAAGCAGTATCCTACCACTTACCCCGTTACCCAGACAGGAAAATCAGTGTGATTCTTTCATCTATGGTGTATTTGCCCTCCTCCCTCTGCTCCTACATGTAGAAAACAGCAGCCTGGTGGGAGCGGTGCACTGCTGCCGTCCTGCCTTGGGCACCAAGCAGAGCCCTGCTCTGCACTGGATGTCAGTGGTTCTGGCACGTGGCTTGTGTGCTGTGCAGGGCTGGGCCTTCTTCACTGGCCGTATGGACTTTCTGAGTGTGTCAGCGAAGCCTGCGTAACAGGGAGGTGAATCCCATCAGCTATTTATGTTTGCCGTGATAGACTACATCTGTAGGTCCATGTCTTACATGATCTCTGACTAAATTTACCAGTCCAAAGCCGGGTACACCGTTAGTGTGTAGTGTAGTATTTCTACCCTGGCCTCTAAACAACTGTTTTTAGGACACTTGCTTTCATGCAGCCTTATACCATGTTTAGTTATCTTTAGGTACGTGTTGAATCTGAACCTTTCAATGCTGGTTTACTTTACCGTACACTAGGCTAGCATTTATTTTTGCCCGCTGTTCTGTAGCTAATATGCAAATACAGAATCAAACTAGACATGTTGTTTTGGCTGATATCATTGCATAGAAGTACTCCACTCTTTGTCAGGACATCAGAACAACCTTCAGTGGTACACACAGGGTTCTTCTCGATCTAACTGATGATATAACTCTTGCTATTGCAAGTATTATCATTAATTTTACTATGCTATTGAATATTGAAAATTAATTCCTGGAGTGGTCTTATTCACTTGTTCCTTAGCTAGGATATATTTATTTCCTATCATCAACTAGTTTATATTATATCAAGGTTCAAAAGGGGTTTTCGTCCTCTGAAAAAGTAGAGTGTAGTCAGCATTAATGAAAGGGCAATGAATAATACTCTACGTCATGGCTTTCAAACTTGAAGAATTCCACTGGGGTCACCGGGTTGAATTAGAGACCCTTTAATCATTAGTACAGTTTTATGAATGGTGTACTTTACTCTGGTATTTTACTAAACGTCACTACTTAACACACTTCTGGCTCCATGGAAGGAAAAACAAAAGGCTTTGTGTGCCTCAAAGTCCCAGTAGTTTTGAGGATCATTATAATTCTACTAAGTCAAATCCTGAGGTCCCTGTTTGGTTGTTATACCATGCTAAATCTTCCTGAAATCAACTGGAATTTGTCTGAGCAAAAACACGCTAAGAATCTCAAGATTTGGCCCTTTAAGAGTAGCTAAAATTTCCTCTCTCCCAGGCAGAGGAAGAAATAGCTGCAGTTGTGATTCCTACTCAATGTAATGTAACCAGCTTGTATTTGTGTTACTCCTGTGCCCGAGCATTGCAATCGTGAATCCCATCGTATGCAGAGTCAGTTACTGACATTTGGGATTCTTTTGTCAGATTTGGTCTCCTGTGAAAACCTTGGTTTTGCAGGGTACGTCATTGACTGTAATTAAAAAGGGCTTGCTTTAAACTCTAACAAATGTCGCATATGTGAAAGCAATACTGCACAACAGTGACTGTGTTACAAATGCAAGTCCCTTCATCTCCGTAACTGTGACACAAGTGGACCTCTGTAACGTGCTGTGAAAGCGAGGGCTTCTTCCCCCAGTTGCTCGTTCAGACCTGCTGAACTCATGACATTTCTAAGGCCTTGTTTTGTTCCCAAGAGCTGAATGATGGGGGCACCACTTCACAAAAGAAATGAATAAATCCATACCGTTTGGGAGGCACTTCCGCTAAGGTGTTCTCTGTTTCTCGTAAACAGTAAAGGTAAGTGGTATCCCAAATAAAACATCCGCTGATGAAGTTAAAAAAGAGTACTCGAGTATATGCCAAGCTGAGGAGAAAATAAAATTGGTATTACAATTTCAAATTTCTTAATATGCATGAGAGAGTTTTTACAAGTTTTCACAGTCTAGGTGAGGCTTGTGCCCCAAGAAGTCTGCTTCATCTAATTCACTTTCTTCCCCTCTTTCTCCCCCCTCAAAACAAGAGGCAATCTTCAAAGGAACAAATATGTCACTTTAAATACATAACATAAAAAATGGGCCAAATAAATTATTAAAATACATAAAAAAGAGATTCAAAAAAGATGCATGTTATTAGCTATTTGACAAGCAATTGATGCTGTTGCAATGGCTGCATTTCACAATGCAAGTGTTTTCTTTGCTAGACAGATAAATAGTTGAAATAATGTGAGAAACGACTTTGCAGTCATCCAAAGAACAATTAGGCTTTAAATGGTTCATGTAATGGCTTTCCACTGGCTGTGCTGCGCAGTCGCTTCATACCAGACCTTCACCACATCCATGTGCTTTGGAATTCCTTCTAAAAATGAGCTCTAAGCCTGACCCTCCTCTCCCTGTCCCAATTCCCTGCAGAAGTGTTACTACATATGCTTTGAATCTTTTTTTCAGATGCACTCCCAAGTCTAACTCCTTCCTCCCTGTGCCTGAAATGTATGGATTTGAAAGCACAGATGTGGCCTTGAAGTTTTTGGACCAGGCCCATCTGGGTCAATCCCTACATAGTTTGACTAGGAGTTTCTCGAGTAAAATTCTCAGAAGCCCTAATTTTTTCTTGTTCTGAATCTACTACACACTCTCTTTTATCTCTCCTAGTTGAACTACAAGGATCTCAAGGGAGATGTGATTTTTCATAAACAGAAAAATAATGACCAGCCAGAGGAAGGAAACAAATTTTTAATGACTGTGAGAATTGTCTTTATGAAACAGCAAGTTTCCTTTTTGTTTATTCTATATGTAAAAAATGTATCATTCATGAACTAGAGAAAAAGGGGAGATTCTTTTTAAATCTCATCTACTCAATTAATAACAATAATTTAAAAAAGCTGATGGAGACTTTGTCCTCCTGCTGCCAACATTTTGAATCACTGAGAAAGGGTTCCGGATCTGACCCTGAAAACTGCATTTTGGCATTAACAGTGACTTCAGTAGGACCACTTGTGCGCGCAGAGACGCCCGTGAAAGACAGTTTGCAGGACTAAGTCAATAGAACAACTGCTTTTCCAGACATGCTGGCTTCCTTCTCAGTCAAGATACTGCGAAGTAGGGAGACAAGGGGTTCGGGAGCGCTTCATCACCGCATCCGAGTACCAGGGGTGATGCAAGGCAGTTTGCGACCATCACAAAAGGCACGCAGGGTGTCCGGATCCCTTCTGCACCCCTGAAGGGGCGGCCGAGCGGCAGATACAGAGTCGCGGCTGGGAGGGAGACCCTTCGGCCCATGTGGAA